TATATATATATATATATATATATATATATATATATATATAAGTTAAATTTTTGTGTGCGAATAAGATATCACCGTTATATATACCGTCCGTATAATCAACGTTACCAAAAATTTTATAAATGATACCTAATCGCAAAGTCTTTTGCCGTAACATTGCGAACATCAATAGACGTTATTATCAAAGAACGATTCGCGCACTATTTGCGCGTACAATAGTAAATACAAATACGATCTGTTTCGGGAATATAATCGTGTTGTAACCGTCGCTCACAAGGCAAGCCAGCGAATTGTCTCTTTCGGAATTAAATTACATTTATATCTTTAGGCCAGTTCCTAGAACCGAATAGACTAGCATCTCGTAACTATATTTCGCATAGGTATACGTCTTAGAATCGAAAACCGTAAATTTACCTAGATATAATTTGAGTTTTCGAGTACAAATCGCATAATGTACGCAATGAACAATCGCGAACTGCGTTTCGCGTTTGGCGATGTTTCTTCGGTTCCACGGCCATGACCTATCACAATTCTGCTGCTATATTCGGAAGGACAGTTCGCTCCCCTGCGTGTTGATAATACATTACAGTAAATAGAATCACATCGCGTGTCCTACGAATACGCCTACACAATAGTATTCATTAATTCCTGATCGGATGGGAGGTATTGCTGTTGAGCAACAGAGGAATATTGCATGTCGATTGGCTTCGTGTCATCGTACAGTGCTGGTGCTTCGCATAGAATCGTAAAGGTCCCGGCTATGGAGGCTATTGTGAACATCCACAGAAAGAGGCGATCAAGAACCATCGCGACGAAACCCCAATCTTGATCCTCCTGTCGTGACATAACGAAAAACAATAATTAATGGTACAGGACGAAATATATCTAAACGAATATATGATGTATATAAGATGTGTTTAAGATGTGTTTAGGATCTGTTTAAGAAAGCAATGATTTTGCTCGAGTTTTGTTCATATTATCATAAAAAATTGCTCCTTTATATTTTATTCGTAATCATTTTTTTATATCTTTAACAGTGATAGGGATGTTAAACAGAAAATAGATAATTCAGACATTATACGATGGGGAAGGATTTTCAACGTCTATTCTAATTTTTAATTTTAAATTTATTATATATATATATTCAAGAAAACATTTTTGGCTTTTGTTAGAATATTAAATGCACCGTTTTAGATGCTGGCGCACTGCAATGGCTTTCTCTTTTCTTTTTACTTGCGTTATCGAATTTCTGAAAATGCTTACTGCATTGAATTCATCTTGACGTTGTATATGATGCTGGATGAACATAATATTGTGTAAAGCTTTTTCCAGCTCGAAGGGGTATTTCTTTCTTGGCGTTACATCGCTCAGTGACTCGTCAAGACCAGACATGACTGTTGGAAGCCCATTATATCCTAAACTGCCGACTAGAAATCGATTATGGGCAGTTGTCCTGTGTAAACCGTTGCAACCTAAAGTGACAATTACATATAATTTTTTTAATAATTCATAATATGAAGAAATAAATGAACACGTAATATTACGTTTATATCTTTTTACATTATTGCGCGAATAATATTAATTTGAATAAAAGATGTAAAGTGCGAAAAATAAGAAAAATTATGGAAAATGGTATTTAATATTAAAATATTTTTAAATAATATTAAATTAATAAATTAAAAATTAAAATGTGTATTAAAAATAGTAATATTACATTTATAATATATATATATATATATATATATATATATATATATATATATTA